AATCAAATAAATAAATAAATAAATAAATAAATAAATAAATAAATAAATAAATAAATAAATAAATAAATAAATAACATACAGGGCGACCAATGCAGTTTCTGTAGCATGGCGCGGCCTGAAGCCCGACTGAAACGGATCCAGGGCATCTGTTTCATCCAAAAGAGCCTGAAGCTGGTCAGCCACCATCCTCGCCACCACTTTACTGATAAAAGAAACATTGGCGACGGGCCTATAATTGCCAATTTTGTCTGGTGCCAAGTTAGGTTTCTTTCTTATGGGCCTAATGAGTGTCTCCTTGAGGGCAGGAGGAACCCTGCCCTCAAGGAAAGACCCATTAATATTTTTTGGATTATTAATCCCAGAATCTTCTAGACCAGTGGTCTCCCACCTTTTCCAAACCGTGGACTGGTGGGGGGCAGGGTCCACGTGTGGGGGTGCGGGGTGCCCCCATGGTTGTGGGTGGGTGGGGCGCACTTACAGATGGGCGGGGGCACATGCGCAGAAGGGTGAGGTTTGCTCACAGGTGGGTGGGGCGCATTCATGTACTCATGTGTGGGTGGGCGGGGCACCTGTGCAGGTAGGCGGGTTGTGTGTGCATGGGGGGAGTGTGGGGGGGAGCGGGAGATCTGTCTCTGCGGCCAGGTCCTGCCATGACCTCTAACCAGCCAGTGGACCCTGGTCCTAGACAGCCTGTGTTGTGGCGATACTGGTTGGAGGATTCTGGGAACTGTAGTCCAAAAGAGACATTTTCCCAAGCTCTGTGGGCTGCCCATCTTTGCTTAGGGGCATAGCCACAATACTGGAAGAAACTAAAATGTGTTCCTTTAAGATAACTGCTCCAAAGACACTACAGAATGACACAGCAGTACTTCTAATGTGGAAAAGATGTTTACAAGCATCCCAGTAATAAAGGATTCTAAAGCTTTGGGGTTCAGCATCTGTGGAGGCCAGAACATCCTCTCCCTTAGTTTTTCTTCGTTTCCTAATGGAAGAAGATTTCTGGTCTCATAAACCTAAACAATCTTCCCAGAATCAGTGCCGTGCTGTGTTTTGCTTCTACTCCAAGATTACTCCAGGCAATATTCAACATCATTTCTGGATCTTGATGCTGCTGTGGTGGTGAAAGTAGTGGAATATTATCTCTAAGCAGTCAAGTTATGGGGAAAATTTGCTATTTTTCCTTCTTCTCTATCTATCTGACTTTCCCGGCAATCGGATGCATTCCTCTCCTGCCCACACTGTCACTAACTTGCTCTTTCACTAGGTGCAATTGGTAGGGAAAAACCCCACCCCACCTCCAGAGCCCGTCAGGGTTTCTCATCAATCGTGGGTTGTAACCATTTCTTAATCACAGCTACAAACTCTCTGTTAGAACAATCCCCCTGGAATTAACAATCCATTAAATATGGCTTTAAACAACAAGACTTTACGTCCAGGGAAAATCCCGCTGGCAGGAACTTGTCACAGTGTCTTTTACATTGGGGGGGAGGGGAGAGGGTGTTTTTTGGGTTTGTTTGTTTTTTTTTGGTCCCATGATGCTGTTGGACAAGTGTTACAGAGCATGGCCTGAAATATTGTACTTCAGCTTTTGGACGTGACAGAGAAATCCTTTTAGTGTAGCAGCATAATCCCAGGAGGGGGAAATCAACTTCACCTAAGGGCGCAGTGCCAACTAAGCAAGGTGGCTGTAGGCCAGGTGAGCTGATCCCAGGGCAGATACTGAATCCCAAACCTTTCCAGCCTTGGGATGTTGGAAATTACTTAGAACTACTCTCGCCTCTGTCCATTCTGATTCTAGTCTAGTGGTTGGAGAAGGTCTGGGTCTGATATTACAGTGGTGCCTTGCTTAACGATTGCCCTGCATTATGACAAATCCACTTTACGACGATCTTTTCGCGATCTTTTTGTGATCGCAAAACGATGGTCTAAATGGGGGAATTTCACTTTGCGATGATCGGTTCCCTGCTTCGGGAACCTATTTTTGCTTTACAATGATCAAAAACAGCTGATCGTCAGATTTTCAAAATGGCCACCAGGTGCTTAAAATGGCTCCCCACTGTGCTTAGGGACAGATTCCTCGCTATACAGGCACCGAAAATGGCCGCCATATGGAGGATCTTCGCTGGATGGTGAGTTTTTACCCCATTGGAACGCATTGAACGGGTTTCAATGCATTTCAATGGGGTTTTTAATTTCGCTTTACGATGTTTTCGCTTAATGGCAATTTTCCTGGAACGGATTATCATCGTTAAGTGAGGCACCACTGTAACTTGCTTCTTCCCCACCCCTTCGTGAGGCATTTTTGGCTGATCTTAGCCGCCAGAGCAGTTGCACTAGCAGAGATCTGTCTACACAAGAGCAGTTCTTTCCAACTGGATCAATGTTTCAATTCTTCCCACTTAAAGAGGATTAGTCAAAACAATGAAATGTGAGGCTATCAATGTCTGTGAATAATGATGGATACTTCCAGATTCAGAGTCACCATGAGTACCCGTTGTTGGAGGACAATAGCTGGACAAGGCTGCAGCCCTCACAATCTCTGTGTGGATACCCTGCCCCACAGGCATTGCTTCTTTACTGTTTGAAGCAGGATGCTAAACTAAATAGGTCTTCCATCTGATCCAGCGTGACACTTTTTCTGTACTTCTGTTTGCATTCTTTGCCCGCCGGCAAGTAGATTTAATGGCATCTCTTAATTCATTCCCTGTTTTTACTTTGTTGAGTTTTTGGTGGTGGCAAAATAATTCAGCTCAATGGCCTTTTCATAGAATAATGGAGTTGGAAGGGGCCTATAAGGCCAACCTCCTGATCAATGCAGGAATCGAAATCAAAGTAGATCTGGCAGGCGGTTATCCATTTTTCTCTTGAATGCCTCCAGCATTGGAGCACTCATTGCCTCCTGAGGTAATTGGTTCCTTTGTCTTACTGCTCTAACAGTTGAGAAGTTTTCCTAATAGTTACCTTTTGGCACCTTTGCAAAGCACAAACCGAGGTCCACATCACTCTCAACACAGCCTTCTAGAAATCTGCAAAGCCTAACTGTGTTCTGGAGTCTTACCAGAATATGAGATCCTGAGACAGGATATTTCCCAATTTTTCTACACTAACTGAATAGTCCTGTTATATTTTTTTTTTCTCCCTCCTTGGTTTCGGCCATCTTAGGCTCCTCCAGAAACTCCATCCAAACTGGACAACGCCAGATGCAGGCAAGAAGATAATCTTTCCAGACAACATGCCAATGCAGAGATTTGTCATTCGCTCTAGAGATGATTTCAACCAGTCCTGGGTGAGAAAAACATCTGAGTCATGTCCTTTCTGTAACTGAACAGTTCTAGTTGTAGGACTGGCAAGGGAACAGCCACCGAGGCAGCCTCAGAACTGCGATCTGAAAGGTGTATATATGGTCTAGGGACATTAGTCCTCATGTATCTCATTCTCACACCTGAGAACAAGAAATTGCTATATTTTTTGTTAACCTCAAAGAGGTTTTGCATTTGTGAGAACGATTTTTGCATCAATAACATAAACTTTACACAACTGCAATAGCTATTGTTTTGTTTAATGGGGTTTCAGATATTAGAAGCGTTGAATTGGTTTGCTGTGTCTTTTTATGAATCAGTCGGTCCTTCTGCACTTGATCTGTGGGCATGCTTTGCATCTCAGAAGGTGGTGTGTGCTATATGCCAAGTGATAGCAACCCTAATCAGGTTTTCAAGATATAGGAAACATTTAAACAGTATAGTGGTGCCTCGCTAGACTATGATAATCTGTTCCACTGAAATCGCTGTTTAGCGAAATCATTGTCTAGCGAAAAGCATTTCCCTATTGGAATGCATTGAAACCTGTTTAATGCGTTCCAAAGGGGAAGAATCGTCGTTGTCTAGCGAAGATCGGCCATAGGAAAGCCACTTTGGGAACCGCCGATCAGCTGTTTAAATAGCTGTCTTGTGAAGCTTAGTCCCGAAAATACTCGTTTTGCGAGCGAGGAGGAAGCTGTCAAAATCATTGTCTAGCGAAAATTGGTTTGTGAAGCAGGGACCAAACATTGTCCAGCGAAATTCTCTCATAGGAATCACTGTTTTGCGAATCACTATAGCGATCGCAAAAATCAATGCCTACCAAAAAAAACTGTCATGCGGGGTAACTGTCCAGCAAGGCACCTCTGTGGGTTTTTTTCCTTGCCACTCTGCATTGAGTTTCTGTGGCGAAGTAGGAATTTGAACCCAGGACTCCTGAATCCCAGTCTACATTCTCTCCAATACATCTGATTTTGAAGCAGATTTTTACACACACACACACACTTCAGGAAGGCCATGCTGCTTGCGCTGGGACATTGTTTTAATTCCAAGTGTGTTTTCTGTGGTTTGCAACTCTTCATTCAGCTATTAAATATTTTAATAGGAAAAGTGGGACCTTCGTCACAGTGGGTGTAAGTAATAACACTGACATTCAAGTGTTAGGAATGTCTTAGGAATGAAGTCTGTTCTCAGCTCCAAAATATTTTAAACTCAGAAACTCCTGTCCTTTCCAGATCTTTCAAGTGGTTTTTTCCCCCCCTCTCCCATAAGTTAGGGAGCTACTTATTCATTTCAAAACAAATCCACATTGGAACCAAGTAGGCCCCATTTGAGTTCAAATTTTATGTGTTTATGTACTTATAGAGTGACAAAGGACACAAATATGAATAATAAGAGTTTGAGATAGAAAAGATCTCGAATGCGGAAAGATTTATCCATACTAGCCTCAAGTCTTAGCTCATAAAAGTGTGAATTTGAGTCCCTGTGTGTTTAACTGTGCTGACTGAGGTGTCAGGTTCTGCCTAGGCTCCTGTTCTTTAACAGCCAGATGGCATAAAGTTACAACATGGTCATCTGTATTAGGGAGAGTTTGCCCTGTTGAATATGGCCACTCCAAATGTTGGAGAATCCTATTAGATTGGTAACATGTCATGGCTAATTCCAACTAGTTGCTGGGACACATCTTGATGCCATGCCTGATTATGTGCCTGATTATGCAACCAATATGCAGCCCAGCACCTTGTCAGTAAGCGACAATTAGCCAAGACAAGTTGCACAATGCTTACGCAAACACCAAAAGGATTCTGGCTGATACGAATTTACCAAAATTCACACATTTCTTCATGTTTAAAACAGAAAGAACCTGAGGTTTTACAAACCTAAGTGTGCAAGAGATGGTCTAGATCAGCTATATTCTAAATGGGGGCATTGAAGGGGTAAGTGTGCAAGAGATGGTCTAGATCAGCTTTATTCTCAATGGGGGCAATGTGGCCCCTTGGGTGGCCCCAACACATTTGAAGGGGGCCACAGACTGGAAACAATTCTTCACATACCACCTTATAAGGTTTGTTATGCAATTTACACAATCATGATTCGGCCTATGTTTCTTTCACATTGTGCTTATAGCTGTGGCCAAAAAAAAAAGCTTGACAAAGGCTGGTCTATAGATTCACCATTCTATCTTAAACTTATCCATCTCATTTGATTATGGAAGTGAAGCAGGGTCAGGCCTGATCTGTACATGTATGGGAGGTTGCCAAAGAATACCAGGGACCTTCAGGTAGCTGTCACGAGAGGATTATTTCTGAAATCCATTAAAGCTGACCCTACAGGGTTGATACCCAAATCATCTTATATTTTTAAATATGTATTTTTACAGCATAATCTTACATATTTCTGAAAGTGGGTCTTTAAATTTTTCTGGATTGGGAAAAGTTTCTCTGTGAAAATAAAATCTTAAAGGGTATCTCTTTCTAAAATGCTTCACTGGCTAATGTTAAACTTTTTAGAGATGGCTGTATTAAGCACATAAGAAAACTGCTCTTAAATGGAAGAAATAGTTTATTTTGTTTTTTGTTTTTTTCCATTGTGCCTTTTTCTGTCCCTGCTCCCCCTGGGAATCTAGAAAAACATAGCAGAAGGAGAAGACAATAATGATCTCCAACTCATTAGGAACTTTGAGAAATGGTTGCAAGGAGAAAACGCCAAGCTATCCAAAATTCTTGCCATGAAACCATCCAGTAATGAAGAATTTAAAGAAAGGCAAAGAATGCTGAAGGTTTGTTCCATTCCATATTTAATTTTCCAATACAGTACAAGGGAGATAAATATTATTTAAAACATCTTGATCTGTTCTGCTGCAGTGGAACAGAAATGTAAGAAGCTGCCTTATATCAAGTGAAGCTGTAACTCTTTCAATACTGTCTACACTAAAGAGCAACAGATTTCTAGAGTTTCAGATAGATTTCCCCAGATCTGCCTGGAAATGCTAGGATCTAGGACTGACAATGCTAGATTCACAGCCAAGTCTGGTAAGCCATCGCTTAGGGCCTCCAATTATGAGAGGCCACTAAATAAATACCTTAAAAATGGTGGTGCAGTGGGACCTTTTAGTATTCACCCACTCAGATGAAACATTTTAGTTCCCCCAGGAGGATCATGTTGCATCCCAGAATTCACACAGAACTAAGGCTACAAAATAGGCATTTAATGGCATCCCATTTGGAGAAATGTAAACAACGTCCCCAAGGTTTCAGCCATTAGCTCTTTTTTATTTTGCAAACAAAGAATAGCTGGGACAGAGTTTGTATCACGTCTTGCCTTTGGCCTGCTCAAGCTGAAGGGGACACGGTATGTCCCAGGGCAGTGGTTCCCAACCTTTTTTTCACTTGTGTACCCCTTGGCAGCCTAAACGGTACCTTTCATAGTAGCAAAATATTTGTAATGAATATGGTTGCTATTATTTCAAATTTATATGTTGGAACTGTAAATAAATAGCTCAACAGTGGGATTAAAAAGCAACAGAATAATCAGATGAACAGACAGTGTGACATTCAAAATTCAGCATCCAAATGTTTGCAAGGCAGAGGTGAAAGCTGATGTGCACTGTAGTGGCATGTTTGCAACACAATGTTTAGTGAGGGACTCCCCACCATTTGCCACAATAACAAAAAGTGAGGGAATGGGGCTTTTCTCAAGGTCAGAAAATAACAAAAACCTGCTCCACCATTCCTCATAATGTTCAGGGTTTTTTACTTGTATCCTGTCTTACACTGTTGATGTATGTGCCCTTTCCTGCCTTTTTTCAATATTTTCTATGTTCCCCTGAGTGTCCTGGTTTGTACCCCTGGGGGTATATGTACCACAGGCTGGGAATCAATGTCGTAGGGCAGCGATGGGGAACCGTTTCGAGCCCAAGTGCCCAAATCAGCGGGTGTCCTCCAAGGGCAGCCAGGTGTGCCTTTTTTCCCCCTCCCCAAATATAGGGAGGGCCCTTGCCTAGGCTTCCTGTGCTGTGCTCCACCCCACTTGCTCACTTTCCTGAGGCTCTGGAGCCACAGTCAATGGGCAGCCACGAGAGGTGGCCGAGTGTGGCTCCTCCTTCGCCTCCTCCTCCTCCTCCTGCTGCTGCCCTATCACCTCCTTCAGTACCACTTGCTGGTTCCCTTCGGGCAGGGGATGATGCATTGTCTTGAGCTCGAGCTGAGCCCCGGCGATGAGCGCCGCCACGCCCTATACTGGGCCAGCATGGGTGGCAGCATCGGCATGGCTTGCATGCCCACAGAGAGGGCTCTGCATGCCAGCTGTGGCACACATGCCATAGGTTCGCCATTGCTGTCCTAGGGCATCTTTCAGGGAGGCTGTGAAGAAGTGACATATTTTTATTGTCATCAGGTTGACCCCGTTCTGGGCCAAACAGGAATTTTCAGTGAGTTCAGATTTATTTATTTTTTGGTTGATTCTCCCTCCATCCTCCTGAACAGGTTCTACTGATGTTCTGAGGGAAAGACACTCTGACAAATACAGAGATCCCAAACCATGAAAGGATTCATATACTAGCACTAGCACCTTGAATTTGGCATGGTAATAAGGAACCATGTGGAAAGAGCCTCACAATGGGATAATAAAAGGGAAATATTGTCCTTGTTTCTGACCTCTTTCCATGTGGAACTGTTTTGTGATCACGAGTTAGTGATGGAAGTAGCATAAGAACGCCTCACGTATAGCCTTTTCATGACACAGCAGTACTTAGTCTCCTTCTATCCACATAGGAGCTTCAGATCCATGTCCCTGAAGGTCAGCAGCATTTTGAGGATCTTCTGGGTCTTCAGCCCATTGTCAAGAGCTCTGAGGAGCTTGAGGAGTTGCGGTACCGATGGATGCTCTACAAGTCTAAACTGAATAACTCCAGCAACTCACTGGTAGGCCTTGTGATTTCAGTGTGTTGAGTAGCAGAGGGGCTCTAGAGCTTTCAAATTAAATTTGTGCAGAGCTAGGAAATAGGTTGTTAAAATTACTTCATTCATGAAATTAAAAATCCATATAATTTTTCAGCAATGAATTCAAAATCTGTTTCTCATTACCTTAACTCATTATAGTCATTCTCAGCTATTATAGGTGATGTTTAACAACTTGGGATCTTTATCAATATATTGACTAACAAATTAGATTCTGTAACGCTTTACCAAAGCGTCAAAATCAATGAATTAGATCTCCTTAATGACTCAGTATTGATGCATTAGTGCTATAGCTGACATTTCCAAGTTCTGACTCAATTGGGGGATAAGGAAATGCGATTTGTTTGCTACCTGATGGAGTCACATTAAGCAGGGACATAAATATGAACATATGCAGAGCTATAAAAGGTCAAGAAATTGGCCTATCCAGTCTTAAACAGGAGCCAGAGCCAAATGTTTCAGGAAATGTAGAACATTTCATGCTAAAAAAAATATTATGCTCCATACTACTCATGCCAGACTTTAGTATGTGAGTAGAGAGCTTCCCAGAAACGCTGAGTGGTCCATACCTCTATTGGCTGAATAGCTCAATGAGTCAATGAGTCAGGTATCTGGCTCTTGGACCAGAGGTTGGAGTTTGATTCCCCACTGTGCCTCCCATGAGAAGAGGCACCTTGTAAAGCTTTGGGTAAATGGCATAGCCCCAGGGTGCCCCTAGAAGAAGGGAAGGTAAACCATTTCTAAGTAGTCTATACCTAGAAAATCCTGGAAAGGGTCGTCATAAATTGGAAACGATTTGATGTCATTATTATTATTGTACAAGGTGCTGCTACTTCTGGAATAGATTAATTCTTCTTAGTACCCACTGTTTTGAATGCAAGCAAATTTTAAATAAAGCACCGAAGTGAAAGCTTTTATTTACAAGGTGCTAAGAAAAAAATACATTGCTAATGTTGTTTTGTAGTATAATTTTATCCAGGCATTTCCTGCAAAGCTAGAAATAGTCAGTAGGTGTCAGTAAAACCATATTTTTTTTCTTCCATCAGCCAGGCAAATCTGACCTAAATTATTAGGAAACCAAATCCATTTGGAATCTAAACGGGATGCATGTGCTATAAAGCTCATTAAACAGAAATCACCTGCTGCTTTACCCTGTCCAGATGACGAGAAATTTTAAAGCAATGTTTCCCCTGTGAAATAAACATTAGCTTATAGGTTCCACTGGGATACCATGATTCGTGCTTTGAAGGGGGGAAAAACCCTTTCCCTTTTATTCTTTTTAAATAGATGACAAGTTCTTTCGAAGAGCCAGCAACATTTAGAAAGGTAAGCTGTGTTTCTGTTTGTTCACAAATAAAGAAATGATGTTGAAGTCTGTGGGTCTGTTTTTGTCAATACATAAAATGTATGCTTCCGGGGGTTTAAAAACAAGGCCTGGCTGCCCAACAGTGACATCCAATTAATTTTTTTTAAAGAAGGAGATGTCTCCTGAATTATTTTATCAAAACCAAGAAGTAAAATGGCCTTTATCTTAATTTTGTTGATATACTTTCTTTAGAGAAAATAAAGATTTACTGTAAATTCTGTACTGTTCCTCTGATTTGGCTACAGCTAGAAGTATTTCTCTACTGGCCTGGCCATTGTTTTAGTTCAAAAAAGTTGATTCTGTACTTTAAAAAATGCAACTTTCTTAGACTCGGCTCATGGAAGCCCTCCACCTCTTCTAAAGAAATCTCTATGTTGATATACTTTCTTTAGAGAAAATAAAGATTTACTGTAAATTCTGTACTGTTCCTCTGATTTGGCTACAGCTAGAAGTATTTCTCTACTGGCCTGGCCATTGTTTTAGTTCAAAAAAGTTGATTCTGTACTTTAAAAAATGCAACTTTCTTAGACTCGGCTCATGGAAGCCCTCCACCTCTTCTAAAGAAATCTCTAGCTTATTTAGATTCTGTACTTTAAAAAATGCAACTTTCTCAGACTCTGCTCATGGAAACCCTCCACCTCTTCTAAAGAAATGTTTTGCTTATTTACTACTACTACTACTACTACTACTACTACTACTACTACTACTACTACTACTACTACTACTACTACTACTACTACTACTACTACTACTACTACTACTACTACTACTACTACTACTACTACTACTACTACTACTACTACTACTACTACTACTACTACTACTACTACTACTACTACTACTACTACTACTACTACTACTACTACTACTTTGTGGCGCAGTGGTTAAACCGCCGTACTGCAGCCAAAACTGTGCTCACAACCTGGGTTCAATCCCAGGTAGCTGGCTCAAGGTTGACTCAGCCTTCTGTCCTTCCGAGGTCGGTAAAATGAGTACCCAGCTTGCTGGGGGGGGGCAATGTGTAGCCTGCATAATTAACTTGTAAACCGCCCAGAGAGTGCTTGAAGCACTATGGTGCGGTATATAAGCAGCACGCTTTTTACTACTACTACATGCTGTCAAGTCAATTCTGACTTATGGCAATGCTTTTCAGGGTTTTATATGTATAAAAAGTACTCCAAAGTGGTTTACCAGGCCCTTCTCTTGAGAGTACCCTGGGACTGTGCAGCCTCTGCCCAAGACCACACAGGATGGCTTTTCTCCAGGGATGCACCATAGTTCCGCCGAGTCAGTAAGGTCCCCCAACCAGTGTTTTTAGAGGGCCAATGGAAAGAAGAGGCTGGAGAGGCCTCGTTTGCCAGTTCAGTTGTTTGCACCAAACTTCATCCAACCTCGGCCATCCATTTTCTGAGAAGATAAAGGCTCAGTGGTTGAAGTATCTGGCTGCGGAGCTAGCGACTGACAGCTTAGTTCCCCACTGTGGCTCCTTGACCAGAATTGGACTTGATAATCCATAGGGTTCCTTCCATCTCTGCAGTTCTAAGTTTATTATTAGACTCAGGCTGGGTGAAGTCAAACTAATAGGAAAAGGTTTGTATTTTTAAAAAAGATCTAATTCTTTTAATTGTGCAGAAACTGTAGAGCAGTGGTTCTTAACCTTTTTGCAAGAAACGCCCCCTTGAGCCATTGAGGAAGTTATCATCACCCCCCTCTCTGCAGCGGATAACTTCCTCAATGGCAGCAGAAGTGCAGTGTCTCCATCGCCTGCTATTGATTCCCTTCTGTTCCTTCACCCCCGCATTGCCCCTTTTCATTCCATCGCCCCCCCTGAAAAATGAAATCGCCCCCTGGGGGGTTGTGATATCACCCAGGTTAAGAACCACTGCTGTACAGCACTGTTCTGTTCAGTATTAATGTCCTTGGTTGAGATCTGACCTGTTTCAGACCTCTCCTCAAACACACACATACACTGGCTTATTTCATGAGGTACCCATTGAGGAAACATAGTTTGCCTTTCCTTTAATATGGTTTATATGGTTTTAATATTTCAGCTGTATGTTTTATAGTATTTTGTAACCCGCCCAGAGTAGTGGCATGCTCACTAAATGGGAAGGGTATAAGTTTAAATAATTAAATAAAATAAATAAATATTAACATCGCAGAGCTTTTCCTGCCAGGGGAGGGTGGACAGTGTTGTCCCTCCAGATGTTTTTGGTCTACAGCTCCTATGCTTGGCTAGCCAGCATAGCCAAAGATGGGTAACTATGAGGGTTGCCATGGAAAAAGACTTAGAATGCCACAGATGAAGACAACTAGCAACTGACACACCCAAAACATCTTGGCCTACTCATTGGAGGCAGAGTGGGGAACTGAGTTCCCAACCTCTGGCTCACCTAAACCACGGAGCTATCCCGCCAGCTCCTCCCTGGCATTAAAATAATAATAATGATAAATCAGTAACTGACAAGGTGCTGTTCTTTTCATTTGAAGGCAAGGGTGGGTCATGTTTTCATTAGACCACAAAAAAAAAATTACAAACATAAGCTAGCTTTCAACATCATCCAGATTGGGCACCACAGAATTGTGAATGGTGCAGAAAGAACATGAACATTTCAAAAATCATGGCCAGCTTTTCATGCCAATCCCCTTTTCACAATGGAGCTGTTATTTCAGGTTAGAAGTGTGGGTTTAAAATTTTACCTCTGCTTGTGTGGATTAAAATGTCTCTCCCAATCTTGCTAGGTAGAGGGTTGCTCTGTGGTGCCCAGTTTGATGAAGACATGTATGGGGGTGAAAGCTATCTTATTTATGTGATTTTAGTGGTCTGGTAAAAGCATTAGCTGGCTGGATAGCTCAGTGGTTTAGGTATCTGTCTGCAGAGCCAGAGATTGGGAATTTGGTTCTCCACTGTGCCTCCAGGGAGCAGAGCCAGCCTTGATGGCCTTGGGCAAACGACACAGTCCTAAGTGCCCCCAGAAGAATGAAATGGTAAACCACTTCTGAGAACTCTCTGCCATGAAACCCCTGAAAAGGGATCTCCATAAGTCAGAATTTACTTGACAGCACATTATTATTTACCCATCCTTGCCTTCAGATTGCACATAAAGACCAACCAGCCTCACCACTTTTTTCCCTTCTTTCCTGCTTTTTTCATAACGCCCTAAATCTGCTCCCCTGGGGTGACTACTTCACTCTTCCTCATGACAGGGCTTGCCTTGCCCTTTCACCAAATCTCATAATTGCACAGCTTACCCTTAAGCTTCAAGTCCATGGCTCTTCATACAAGCTGGCTTTTCACCCAAGAGAGAGTTTTCTTTCTCTCCATATCCCACATGGGTTCTCTTTCCAGTTTTGGAAGATGAGTTCTTAGAAACAGCTTTATCAAATAGTTCTAGTTCCTTCTATATTTGGACACTTTCTGAGAGCAGTCTTAAACTATTTTGCAGCCATGTTTCTTGAAAAAAGACTGCCTCCCAGCTTGAAACTGTTTTCAGCAGCATGTATATAGGTTAAATAAATAAATAGAATTTCCATTGTGGTGCAGGAGACCATAGGGTAGCAAACTGACATTTTCCCAGTTCCTTTGATATAGAAAGAGTCGTCCACTACAACCACCCCACGTACACACACACATTTCCCAGAACTCATGGGTTTTGCCAATAGACTTCCAAAAGTTGAAATATTTGAGAAATCAAAACAGAAAAATTCTCCCGTCTGTAGTCTGCACCAGCTTAATGTCTGTCATGTTGCAAAGTCAAATGCATCCATAAACAACTTTGCTGAATTTTAAATCATGGGATGTTTTAAACACCGAGATTTGAGAGGCTAGCTAAAAACCATAATGTATTGTCAGTTCACCCTGACTTTTCAGGGTTTTTCCAGGTGAACAAAACTCAGAACTGGTTTACTTCTTCGTTGGGAGTCCTGAGACTGTGCTGCTTGCCCAAGGCTTCACAGACTGGCTGTTATTACAGGAGGCACAGAGAGGAATCAGAACTCCCAACCTCTGGCTCCGTAGCCAAATACCTAAACCACTGAGATAGCTATCCCTAAATAAACTCGGATGCTTTTGAACTGCAACTCCCAGAAACCCCAGTCAGGACAGCTGGTGGTGAAGGCTTCTGGGAGTTGCAGTCCAAAACTCCTGAGTAACCCAAGGTTAAGAACCAGTGACCTAAACCACTGAGATAGATATCCCTAAATAAGGGTGGTATGAGAAAAATGGAGAAGCTTGGGGAAACCAGATTGCCTGCTTGCCTTAATTTTACAAGGTGCCAGAATGATTAACTTTTTTTGTCTTTTTTTGTTGTTAAATTTGAGAAAGGTTTGTGTGTCCTTTCATGAGTGCAGGGCTCTTTGATACAACCTCCTCAACTAGCAGTACTTCATAATACATCAGATGGGTCATTTTGAAGTTGAACTGACTTACAGCACCCTTCATAGGGCTTTCCAGCATGCTGCCATGTTGGAAAATGCTGAATGCAAAAAATATTCCACAGTACAGTTCAGGCGACCCTTAAAAATTACAACACAAGTCTACTGAATTATTCATTTTCTTAGATTATGAAATACATTTTCACACTACACCTTCCTCTTAGCCAGCATGGCTATTGGAATTTATTCGCGAAGGCTTTCACGGCCGGGATCTAATGGTTGTTCTGGGTTTTTCAGGCTCTTTGGATGTGTTCTGAAGGTTGTTCTTCCTAACGTTTCGCCAGTCTCTGTGGCCGGCATCTTCAAAGGACAGCAAAGTACAGTGGACCCTCTACTTACAGAATTAATCCGTATTGGAACGGTGGCTGCAAGTCGAAAAGTCTGTAGGTTGAATCTCTATTGACCTACAATGCATTGAAAACCGATTAATCCCATAACTGGCAGTTTTTATTCTATTTTTGTTCCATTTTGTTTTTTTTCTGGTCTGTAAGTCGATTCTCCGGCTGCAAGTCGAATCTAAATTTTG